GATAGATAGATTGTTATGTACCACGGCTCCACATCGATTTATACGTCCTGTGGCGCGTAAGGTAGCCTGGTTCGAAGTGTGTTGTGGCTCATCGCCAGACCGAAAGGCCTCAGTCCTCGGGACCCATCGGTATAATGAGTTACACCGGTAGGGTAAGGCAGTTATTTTCTAGCAGTCAATTCAAATCCACTGTGTGACCCCGAATACCCGGCAAGGCTAGGATTGCACGGAACGAGTACGTACCTAAAATGAGCAAATCCCATGCGAAGTGGTGAAGATTTTGCTCAAGCAGACACTCAGTATATTGCAAAACGGGACGGGTAAATCAAAATTCGTTGTCTTTCTTTAAAAGCAGAACAAATTGACGGATGAAATATTAATTTCAATACAAACCATGATTTTGACAGAGACAACAGTAAGTCCAGTAGACAAATGATCGGTTATCGTACGTATATAGACCCAACACTCCACACAGAAGCGTGTATGATTTTTTTCAACTGAAATGTGAGCTCCAGTGCTTGCAAAACTTATGCATAATGCAATACAATACACACACTTGCTCCCTTCCAGTAGGATCCCATGGCTGCTGCTGCTTTCTGAAGAAGCGAAAAATCTACAAACGTTTTTACCCAAATGAGCTGTTTGTTTTCAAATGAACTTGAACGAGCTACCTGGTAGAAAATTTTGTATGAAACCTGATTGTGGTTTACTGTGTCCCTTGTGCTGCTGTTGTTTTGACTGATATTATCTACCGTCACTATCGCAACACAGAGACCACTTTCATCCACTCCTAAAACGAGGAAGGGGGTGCCTCTCTTGTCAACAGGATATTGAAATATTATAAACAAGTCGGCACCAAAGGAGCCTGGATATCCACAATTGAGACAAAGACAATGCACGATAGATTTCATTGCCCATTCTCAACTCATGAAGAGAAAGTTCATTTTCTGACTGGTTGATCAAATCCGTACTTGCTTTGTGGTGAAATTATTCACAGTGCCTGTAAGAAACAAAAAAAATGTGCCTCACTGGCCTCAATTTGAACTTGATGCCATACTGTTTTTCTTTTTCTTTTTTAAGCGGTAGTTATTTTGGTGCCAAAAATGTACTTCACCTCTGTAATTTCTATACTTAAATCAACACCCCCGTCAGAATAATTGACAATAATGGTTGATTACCAATCACTGCGTTACACTGCTGTTAAACTTTAAAGAATCTATGCGACTGAAAATGAGTGCTGAGCGCCATATTTGTTTAAATCAGTGTTCACTGCAAACATAAACTAACCGTTCTCTGATCATTTTAAGGCGTGGAGCCAGTAGATAGACATTTTGCGTTCGAGTCCGTGAAACTTGCTTACTCAATCCGAATGTAAAACTATTATTGGGCAAACCAAACCGAGAACAATAAAGCAAGTATTCGACTGAAACAAAAGAACGATGTTCGGATTCATTCAGGTGTCGAGTCAAAACAGTGTTTTAAGGACAAGGGATTTGATAAGCACATTGTTCATCACTTCTTGACATTTCGGTGTACATGGCTTATCATGGCCTGAGTACTAGTTAAACAATAAACCCAAAAGTAAATAAACGAATATCTTGGTTACGTGATAAAAACCACGAAACGCGCGCAAGATAAATGTGCGTGTGTGTTTGGGAGTTGGGGTTTTTACTCAGAGCCAGTTGTTTTAGTCCAGATCCCATACTACACAATCAACGAGTACCGACTGTCTTGATGACATTTTTTCGTCCTTGATCGAGGTGCTAAGATTGGCTCTGGTCGTTCGAATCGGTTGTGGTTATTTTTATCCACTTCTTGAGCTGAATAATCTGTTTGCATGCGTTCCTTCACTAAGCCGACATGATTGACAGGTTCAGTGTTCGTGGTATAGTGGTGGTACTGGTTTGCGCTCTATCACTCATTCACTCACTCACTCGGATTAATGTCAATTTTGTATGATATTGTCCGATATTTCCACTGTTCTCGCACTATTTCACCACACAAAACTCTCGAATAGGTTATTACCTATCAAGAATTGTCTTTTATCATGTAGTTGGTTTACATCATCACCGGGTCACCTGATTCCGGATTTCATTTGGAAAGGACCCGGGAATCGTTCGGCCACAGGTGTTTTGCTGAGTTTCTTGTAAAACGTCAATTCTCTCATTTCCTTCTCCCGATTTTGGTGCATGATTCCCATAAATTCAGAATGTGATTCAGTGCGTCTCTCTTCCTCTCTTTAGTGACTAGACAACATAAACTGCAACAGGATGGAGCTTTGTAATCGTACACATGTGGCGAGGTTCTATGGTCGAGAAAACCTCATCTTCTCTGAATTAGCAGAGAACCTATGATGACAGGACCGAAAAGGGGTTGAAAATATCACACATGTGCACCATCTTGTTCCGGAGTCAACCATTGTCAGCATTAGTTACTCATTCTGATACAAATGAGCAGCGTGTAGGTTACCCAGCACAGTAGAAGAAATGCTATTGCACTTTCTACCTCTTTAATGTGGATATACTTTGGGGTTGCTAATTTCTTTTTGTGGTGCGCAAGTACCAATGAGTAGCGATTATGGAATACCCCAAAAATTATTACCACTTCCTAGGACCGTTTTAACCTTGAGACTACTACTGTTGTGAGATACTACTCACTTGTGGGCAATTCACAATAAAATGCGATCGGCGATTTCTTTCAATAGTAAGAAATGAACAAGAACTGTTGGAGCGAATTGCTGCTGTTCGGTATGGAGAATACAAGAATGTGCATCTAACAGTAGACCGTTCCATCAACTATCCTGTGTGCGTGTGGGAATTCCGCAAACTCGTTCCAAATGAGATATTTTGTTTTATGAATGACAATTTACTGATACCCTAATCGTTATTCGTAAAAAACGACTTTCCTCGACCGCGGACCGCCTTCTGGAATAATAAAACTACTAATTGCACCATCATTACCATTATTATTATAGTTATTATACGAGATCGTCAACAGATTGCTTGATTGCTCGAAACGTTGATTATTCTCACCTTCACTTTTGAGAACGTGTATAAAGTCATTGGTTCCATGATAACCGAAAATAAATGAAGACTATGGCTATGATATTTTCATCAATTTTGCCATTGCTAGAGCGATTCAATAAAAATCTTAACTTGCAAACTACTGACACCGTTTTTGGGGCAAACAATATGAAGTGTTGACCACATTCAATGGTATTTGTATGTTAGATTTGCAACATAATGAAATATCAACTCATCAATCGGATGTTTTTATCTTCTTTCTCAAATATTTTTTCGCTAGGCTACTGGTTTGGCATCATTGTGTCACCATCAACCAGGTCGAAGAGCATCACTGGTCGAGTTACAATTGGCCCATCGAGATGTTTACACTATCCTGTTTGGTAGCAATCCAGCCAGTCGTTACCGAATTGATCCATCGCTACTAGCAACTGTTCGACTTTGTCGTCTGGCTTGTGGTGGTGTCGGTGTTGATTCCGACACGGCTTGGCACACAGCTGGGCATACAGCACATGCGGCTCGCCTGGCTGCCGGATGTGTGATTGATCTAGCCTGTCGAGTTCTCCTGGGGCAGTGCCCAAACGGATTCGCCCTTGTCCGACCACCAGGGCATCACGCCGAACCGGGGCAGGCAATGGGATTTTGTTACTTCAATTCCGTCGCCATTGCTGCCCGACGGGCTCAGTGTATCAGTGCGTCAACCCTTTCTGCTTGTAATGGACTCAAAAACTTGGATTTGAACGACGATCAAAACACAATAAAAGCAATGCCGACAGAAGCGAACAAACCACGAATTCTTATCGTCGATTGGGACGTGCATCACGGAAATGGCACCCAGACCGTATTTTATACCGATCCAACAGTGCTCTATATTTCCCTTCATCGTCATGACGATGGCGGATTTTTCCCGGGAACCGGATCCCCAGAGGAAATGGGATCTGGACCTGGTTTAGGATACACTATCAATATTGCCTGGCCCACCGGGATAACCATGACCGATGCCGAATATTTGGCTGCGTTTCGGACAATCGTGTTACCAGTCGCTTTGGAATTCCAACCGGATTTGGTACTAGTCTCAGCCGGCTTTGATGCGGCTCCTGGTCATCCAGCCAATCTGGGTGGCTACAATGTCAGTGCAGCCGCATTTGGTTGGATGACTCGATTACTGTCAAACGATAAAATTGCTGGGGCCCGAGTTGTACTCGCACTGGAGGGAGGATATGAACTCAAAAGTCTGTGCGATTGTACCGAAGCTTGTGTTCGAGCCTTGCTATTGTCTGCACACGAGCGAATGATTGGGTCCGATTCGCGAATAGACAACTTGCCCCAATTAATGCCATTATCGGACGAGGAGCGAGAAAAAGTTCCACATCCAGCAGCTGTGCGCATCCTGATGCGCGTGGCACATTTGCATTCTGTTCATTGGGCCTGTTTTCGTGAGCCATTAGATCCCCTGTTGATCTCTGTGCCCGCCTCTGCTTGGCTACCCTCCGGAATGAACGAACCTGCTGTAAGTCCGAAATCAGCACCGGTGCAGGCACCCACAACGGCAGCCGTCGAGCAGAGACGTTACGTCAAACCCATTACGAAACAAAATCAACTAGACGAAGAAGATGATCCTAGTTTGAATAATCCACCCACCTTGGGCAGCATTGGCACAAATATGGCGGTTCCTGTGTACGATGAGGATACTCCGATGAATCTCACTGTTCGACAAACAGTTTCTATGGATGAATCTTCATCCAATCTGTCCGTTATTGGAGCTCCAATTTCGACTACTGAGAAAGATTCCATCTCCGGGTCTGTTGGTAGTTTCGGAATGACAGATTCGAACGAAGCGATCGCCGCGGTGGCCTTGGCTCGACTAGCCGGTTTACGGGTGACCGCCAATATTCTACCTGCCAACATCTCAACATCATCCACGAATCCAATGGGAACGAATTGATTTCTTGTATGCATCCATTATTCAGATTTCGTCTACCCACATCCATTTACAATCGTCTTTTCTTGAACTGATGCTTTCAATCACGGGGGAATATCAACTTTAATTGTCTTTTTTGTTAACTGTCTCTCTTTCTTTCTTTCTTTTTCTCGTAATTTTATGGGCTGTGTCTTTAGCAACTTAATAACACGATGATAATTCATACCTAAAATATCTGTATAGTACCAACACCGAAGCCTCCTCAATCATCCATTCACATCACTTATTTTCAACATTGTTGGACGCTTGCACTCGGCTGTCGGCTGTCTACAGCCTCTATCTGTTCATCCTGCATTGTGTGTGTGTGTGTGCGTATCCTCATATGCTTCTCTCCAAAGTTATTTTCACACAGCCGTCTCTCGGGGACGAATGGATGGGGTTGGGATGAAGAGAGACAGAGAGAGAGAGAGAGAGCAGAGTGCTTCACTCTTCTGATTTGATTTTCTATGCTATCTGTTTTTTTTTCTTTCTGGTTCTAAATTGTAATGTATTCGCAATGTTTATTCATACTGTACACCCATTGACTTACTCAGTTCCCAGATTTGTTCCACCTTGACATACAAGTGCGTGTGTATGTGATCTTAATGACTGATGTAGGTCGAACAAAGAGACCCGCAGGAAATGAACTGACATGGATCCATCTTTTTCTTGCATTTTGCTGATCATTCAGCTCACATTCCTGAACGAACTTGATCATTTCTTTCATTAGTACTCTGCCTCTCTTCTGCTCTACGGATGATGTGTTTCTTTCTCATCAATTTGTGCTCACATTCAGAGTCGAACACGGTTCCCTCTCCCTTCCATTTGTCTCATACCGCATATTTTCTCCCGGTGTGTGAGTTCGTATTACATGACTCTATTCGTAAGACTGTGTATCAATTTGTGTGCGTGTGTGTGGTTAGGTATGTACGTTCATCGGTTTCTCACAGAGAATTAGTGTGCTACGTTCAAACACAATCCCTATTCGTGAGTGCGTGTGTGTATTTATGTATGTATGTACGTATTGTTAACCAATTTGTAATCACTATCCTTTTGTTGAAGAACAATCTAATATCACGACCACTTGTGCACGCACGCATACGCACAGACACACACAGACACAAACACACTAATTATTGGCCCCATCTACGATTGTCCAGTCGGCATTTTATTTGTGTTTGTCTGTTCATCCGTTCGGTCACTGTTTTCAATTTTTAACACACGTCTCACACAGACAAACACACATACACACACGTAAATCAGTGTGTTGGGGATTTTTCAAACATGTGACTGTATGCACATCTGTAAAACTGAACTAATGAATCAATCCATCCTATCAAACTGTATTGTACAACATCCCAATCACGTCCCTAACTGACTTTTCTTGGGCGACTTTCCTCATCACCTCACTTCGCCCTCTCTTTACCTGTCTACTCTATCGAAGAAAAGAGAAAGAATCTGGAAACCAGACGTTTCATATATTCCGTCCATTCAGATTCGACTTACGTGTGTTCGCGTGTGTGTGCGTGTGTGTGCGTGTGCTTGTATACATTCATCTGTGTATGTCTGTTCGCGCTTGTGTGTGTATGTTTATCTATCCATCTATGACTGTGTGCATAGAGGTATATGGCATTCACCTATCCAATCAGCGAAATACCTTTTTCTCCTCCGTTCATGAATGTGCTTTCTTCATCTGACAGAACACTTGGCTTTTAAATGTGCAGTTTCACCTACCGATTGATTACTCGTTTCCGGACAAACTCGTCAACTGGATTGAGGTTCAGCCACGGGGTGACGTAACGGTTGCGCGTGTGTGAGAGTGGGAATGGAAATCGGTGCTGGCATACCCGTACACGCTTACGTGTGTCCGTGTGTGCATATACTCAGGGGTGTGTTTGGGTGATGACCACGAATCACATCGGAAGGATGATATCTTACTGTACACACACACACACACACACACACAGTCAGGTTTTGACCTGAACGAATCCGACTCAAATACATTGTGCAATTTGTGTATGCATGAATCCGTACTGAGTGCATTGGAAGATTTTGCATTATGCTCTCATCGTCTTCATCACAGAGAACTGAATTTTATTGTTCATAAGTATGTGATTTTTCGTAATCAATGATGTTCGATGATGTTCTTCCACGTGACTGAAACTATGTCCAAATGTAGGTCACGATTCATTCATTCACTCGTGCACGTGAGAGTTGAGCTTCAAAACATCGTACGATTCCCTCATCGATTAGAAGGATATATGTCCTGAATAGATTGGGCAGCACACCCCAATCTCCATATTCGAAGGTGTTGGACTACTTATATCGTGTGTGATCAGCGACGTTGTGCGCAACTCCATGAGCCTCAATTTTGTAGACAAGAGAAGGATCACATTGTTGGTCAACCATGAGTTGATGAACACTTCCACTAAATAGCCAATAATGGCCAATGAGCGGCAATGCAGTTAGACAGAAACGTAGTTAGTCTTTTCGCAGACAACAAACCCTCTACGACAAAAACCCGCAATACTCCCTAAGTGAAAATGGCTTACCACAAAGTCAGGCCACGGCCACCGGTCTGTTAGCCTGCTGATTAGCTACTCGATAGTAGGAGATGCATCCCTAAAGAAAAACGCCGTGTGGCACTGATGATTGCACTTTGTAACAAATTACAACCGTGTTTCATGATGAATGCATCAAGCCAACTTATGTTCGTTTCGGGTGAAGGTCGTATGGCCGTAAGAATAAAAGTAGGGAATCATCAGATTTGCAACTCGTTCAAAGCCGAGTTTAATGCATGCAAATTTCTTTCCTAGACAAAAAAATTCGCCCTTTATTCGAAAGTTGCAGTGAATAAGGTTGAGAAATGAGTACCAAATTCGAATGAAATTCGGGACTATCGGTATTTTAGTCTGAAGAGTGAGAATCCAAAAGGCTCTAGAAATGAGGTATAAAGGGTATAGGATATAAGCTCATTTCGCTGCATGTTCCGATATTAATCTCAGGTTTTCATGAATAAACCAGAAACGCATGTCGCATGCATGAAATCTTGGACGCAACGGAACATATCCCACAAATGTCAAGCCATGTTTTGTTTGGGAACAACATTGCACTTTTCTCTGGAAAAGCATTCATCAATTTAATTTAAAACAACTATATGAGAGTGAAATTATGGCGGGGAGATTTGTTCATGATCCCGATACCCGGAGAGGTATTGGGAAGTACAATCTGATGTTAATGCCAGTATGGTATGCTCATAATTTGTGATAAATTTGAACTAGTAAACCAGATTAGGACTGTCAATGGATCATTGTGTATTGTATGAACGTTATTGGTAAAGCGGTAACGATCATTGTTACAAAACACCTAGAGATCACGTTTTAATTGCGCCCACCCTTGGTCATTTACGTCCTTCTTCTGTGTCCCACGGTGGCTTCCGATTGACCGAGATTCCTTTCCGAAAATTCTACTGTAGTACTATGTATAAATAAGAAGAAAGTGTGCAAATTATCTCATTAAATGAAAAATCAAGTGTTTGAATAAACAGATATCATTATCATGTCCAAAATTAATCTACTAGTTTAGAATAGAGGTTTGTCTATTGACGCGTTTTGGAGAAAAAGAAACGGGATAATTTTTTATCCCGTCGGAGGAAAGTGGTTATCACATTCTGCAGGCGGAACGTCAAATAACGGTCATATAACGCACGGGTTTTGTCGGACGTGACAGCCAACCAAACAAATCAATTCCACTAGGAGCCGAATGTTCTGACTGGTTGACTTATACTGAAGCAGAACCATACCTCTCTACGGGGAGGCCTGATTTACTTCAGTAGGACAATAGCTCAAGGAAATAGCATCAGCTTAACAGGGGTAGAATTTTGTGGATTAAAAATATGATATTTTTATTTTTCGAAGTGTAATAAATCGTTTTATTCATCAAAGGTTACACTCGCATTGTCATCAAAGTTCATCCATTTCAGTGATACCTTGTTTCGGCCAGGAATGCAAAAACATAGTACATAGAAGTGATATATTGAGGTTGTGAAAAGTTCAGTAACCTCTGTGGGATTTGAACTCACAATTGGACGCCGCCTAAGCTTTTGTACAGTGCATTCTCAGTTGAGCTACGAGGCCACACAGATAACACTGATATTTTCACATTCGAATCATGCTAACTGGTGGATGCCATATGCCTCTGTAAGTTGGATGGGTATTTTGAATGTGAAAAGATCAGTGCTATCGATATGGCCTGGTCGTAGCTCAGGTGGTAGAGCGTGCGCTGTACAAACGCGTAGGCGGCGTCCATGCATCTGTTCGAATCCCACCGAGGCAACCGAACTTTTCATAATCTCAACATAAGACTTCACTCTGCCAAACAGCAATGTGAAAACAAAAGTTAATATCTTCCTGGAATACCTGATATACTGCATTCTTGAAAATAAACCGTATTTCTAAAAGAAATTACTATAGAGTCGCCGACGGTTGACCGGTGAGAAGAACGAATAACGTTTTCAACCCCGAATGCCATATCCGAATTTTGGTTGGCGCTGGCTGTTTTCCGGCAGTGTCGAGTAATAGGATGAAACTCGGTCAGCTGACAAATTCAGGCTATTTTCGCGGGCGCTTATCTCGTTCAAACCCCTTTAGTTACACTATACACTGACTGCATTCAATGAACCAGTTCTATTAAATGACAGTGCTTCACGCACGCTATACAAATAACTGATTCATGATTAGTGCTCTGATTGAGCAATTATTCCATACAATTTACCCTCATATGAAACAGCTGGTCTATCCTATTGCCTCCGAATAGTTATAATTCTCGGATAAACAGTGCTTCTTGAAATACTTCATCAGTCGTAAACTGTAAAACGAGTAATTACTGAATGTAGGCAGCGAGTGTCAAAAAAGGACGAATTGGTCAGCAAAACTCTCACCGGTTATCTCCTTCTAACTCCCGCCCCCTCCCGCTCTACTCGATAC